ATCAACACATATGGGATGACTATTTTCCAGTGGGTTGGAATGTGTGGCAGTATTAAAAATCACCATTAAATGCCCTCACAACGTCCATGCCCTTTGGCTGTGCACAGATTCCTAATGCAACAATAACATGTTATAAAGGGGACCGAGAAAACAATAAAACTCAACCCAAACTCACCTCACAATTTGTTCTGACACCGGCCTGTGAAATTTTGAGGGTAAATCCAATTTGGGCTTTACAGTGAAGCACTGAATATCTGAATTTCGAGGGTTAAGAAGTGAAAAGGGCATTTCAGTCACACAGAGCTAACAGCTCAGTAGGAACACACGCACAGAAAAGGACAAAACCCAGTGCATTACACCTGTCAGGCCAGAAGTGCAACAGGTTGGCCATAAATCCATAAATCCTTGACCTGAGCTGCTGGATGCACTGGCTGTACTGGTTGTACTGGGTGTACAGCCCAAGGATACACTGGCCAGAGGAGGTTTTGATGTCATCTCCAGGGGGTGACGTTGTCTTCATCTTCTCGGCGTTGGGGAACTGCGTCAGCAGCCGTGCCTCGAAGTCCTCGCGGCGCTCGTACTCCTTGCCCCGGTAAATGAACACTTTGTTCTGCAAACAGATGATGCCTCAGGTTCAGCTTTTCTATTTTTCACATTCTGTGCTGCTTTAGTGTGTGGGTCTGAGCTTCTTATCAGGGGATGCTGAGCTCTCTGCACAGAGCAGGGAGACAAAACAATTCCTGCTCCAGCTGGGCACCAAGGACAAATGATCCAAACCTCAGCCCAGGAGCACAAACAGCGTGGGCTGGAGAGAGAAAAACAAGCAGGATGGGACTGCCTGGGCTGGAGCTGGAATGGGACAATGAACTCCAAGATGCAAATGGAGCAGAATTTATAAAAGTGAGAAACCCCATGACCAATCATCCTTTTTTTTTTTTTTTTTTTGAGGCCATTTTGGGTTGTGCTGTCCAAGGTGGATCCATGGAGGCATTCTAATAAACCCCTACTTTATTCTTTATCTCCATCTAGTCTCTGTTCTAGGCCAGCCTTCACCAGGCACCAACCCTAAAACTCCCCCTGAGCTCCAGAGCTGCCCCTTTTCTGGCGGGACAGCCAAAATCAGAGCATCCTCCAGCCACCACTGGCTCTCCTCAAACCTTTCACGAATTTCTCACTTGCCTCAAAGGGAATAAACATGCTCCAGCAATCAGGCCCCTGATCTACAGCGTTTGTGCAAAATAAAAAGGTTCATTTCTGTTTGCAGATGTTATCTGCACCCTGGGTGAGCTGCAGAGGAGCCTCACAGTGGTTTTTTTCCCAGGAGAAGGAGCAGTTCTGTGCCCAGGGCACAGCTTGTTCCAAGGCTCAGCCTCTGGAAGTTGAAACCCTGAATATTTCAATGCAGGCACACGCTCAGAGCAAGCCAGCCAGGCTTTGTTTCTGCCAAGAAATGAGGATCTGTGCAGAAAATCAGAAAATCCTTACCTGGTCCAGATATTTCTTCCATATTGGCTCCGTGTTCTCTACTGAGAATTCATTCCAGCCGTGTTTTGACCGGCGCTGGAGCACGGAAATCTCAGAGAGTCCAGTCTGTAAGTCAACCTAGAGGGGAAAAAAACCCCAAACCCAACCCAAACATTTCCTAGTATAGCTACAGAAAACTTCTTATGTCAAATTTATATTAAAAACCCATTAGCAGACTAGGCAAGATCTTCATGGCTCAGTCCCACATGAAAAAAAATGAAGCTGTCTGTTATTTTTCTGCTTAAATATGTATTTTTGTTAAACTATAAACCACAGTTTTTTATAGTGTGTTTTACTGTGCTTTGTTAAACACAGAAGCTCATAAAGTAAGCACAAGTTAATTAAAAAAAAAAGGACATTTCTAAAAGGGAGAAATTATATTATAGATGACAAATTAGAAATGTAAAATAGTAAAATAAAGAAGGAATTTCTGTTTGCACTGTGTATTTAAAGAGAAAATAAAAATAAATATGCCCTGACAAAACTCAAAGGGAACAAAATGAGAAGGGATAAATCCTTTTCTGCCTGGATTTAGAAAAATACTGAGGTCAGAACCCAAAATACAACCAAGCACTAAAGTTTTCCCTGATGGTGGGCACCCTCAGAGGATTCACCCCACAAAAAGACAGAGGAATTGGGCACCCCAGGAGTCTGCAAGTCACTTAGAGGCTGATTTTGCAGCTCAGGCCCTTCCCACAGGCAGATCCCACATTCCCAAGGGCAAATCCTTACGTTCAGAGCTCTGGCCAAGTCCTCCTTGTGGCATTTGCAGGCATCCTTGGGGGGCAGGACTGCCACCTCCTTCTCCTGCTGGATGATTTTCAGCTCACACTCCTCCTGGGGCTGAGGGAACACAGCAAAGCAAGTGTTGGGTGAGAATAGTGAGAATTAAAGCTTTCCAGCACCTCCTTGCTTCTTCCCTTCATCTTCATCCCCCTCCCTCCCCTTGCCCGTATTTAATACGTCTTTCACCTCTCTTTGAGAGCTTTTAACCAGACAAGAAAAGCCTTTTGTTTGTTTGTTTTTATTTTTCTTTTCCAACCAGTGGTTTGACCGATCTTCCTTAGCTGAATCACAAGGGCTCCTTCAGTCACTGCACCACGTCCAGAATCTCAGTGCTTTAATACCAGCTCTAATTAACCCTGACCACAGCCTTAAAGGCAGGGGCAGGTTCTCACTGGGGGAGAGGCTGTGAGGAGCTGGGGAACCACAAAGAGAAGCTCTTGGTGTTGATTAGGAAAGGTTTGTGCTGATCAGGAAAGGTTTGTGCTGGTTGAGGTGTCCTGCCCCAGAGGAGCTCTGTCCCCTGCCAGTGTCTCACAGCCCAGACTCGATGCTCAGAGCAAGGAAAACACCTTTCCCCTTCTAAAAATATAACAAATGAAGTGAAAAAGTGAGCTGGAAATGTGAAGTGAGAAGCAAAATTTCCTCTCCTGTGTCCAGGGTTGTTTTGCTCCACCACAGACTCTGCAGATGCCTCCAAGCAGGGTAAAACCTTCCTGCCCCATCCAGGCAGCCCAAACCCTCAGCATCCCAACCTCTCCTTTCAATTCCCTCCATTCCCTTCTCTCAAATGCACTTCCCAGAGCAGCAGCATCCCCAAAATCTCTGCCAGGCCCATGATGGAGGCACTGTGATCAGGCTAAGTACAGAGAGGGAGAAATCTCCCCCTTCCCAAGGGACAGGAGCTCCATTCCCTTTTCCCTACATCCACCAAGCACAGGAGTGTGTGCTCATTAACAAAAGAAGCCCCAGAGAGCGTGGCAGGCATTTGGCAGCAGCTCCCAGCACCCTGGAATATTTGCTGTGGGATGCACTCATCCTCCTGCAGGGTTATTTGAGAACTTGGCCCTCCCTTGAATATTCAGGAACTTTCTAGGAACATCCAGAGCCCGAGATAAATGCAGAAAATCATCAATGCAGAAAATCATAAATGCAGAAAATTATTAATGCAGAAAATCACAAATGCAGAAAATCACAAATGCAGAAAATGTCCTTGGCTCTTCTCCCGTGGAGTTGGTTTCAGCCTTGGTGTTTCTGGAGAGCTCGGAGCATCTCTTAGCCCTGCTCCTGGACCAGGTTTTAGCCATATCCATCTGTTGCAGCCCCTTTTTATGGCCATTTTCTCAGCTGCCAACACGAGGGATGCCAGCACCCCCCTGCTCCCAGTGGAGCAGCTCCCTGGGACCCCTTGGTTTGGGCAGGGCTCACTTAGAAACCTTTTTGTCCCAAGAACAGCCTGCCTTTCCAAACCCCCAGCACCTTGCCCAAGATCTCCATGGATTTTCCAGCTCCCACATTTCCCTCAAACTGCTGATCCCGTTCTGCCCAAAGAAGCTGCAGCACTGCTCCCATTTTTGAGCCATCCTAGCACTGGACATCACCCTTATTTCCACATCTCCTTAACAGACCTCTTGAGAAGGGACAAAAATACCCCTTCCATGTTTGAAACTCATGATTTATATCCCTGCTTGGGTGTCCTGGTTGGACAAATCCATCAGGTCCCTGTAACTTTGTTGACATCCAGACACTGAAACCCCAGGAGCTACTTCTGAAGATGGAAGGGTTTGGTGGGAAGAAAACACAAGGCGGCCATGGATAGACACATCCTGGAATTCACAGATTAATGTGGCCTCTCCAGGCTCCTCTGTGCTGCAGGTGACACAGGTATCAAGGTACAGCTCTGCCCTGGAGGGGTTTAAATTTTAATGAAAGCAGCTGGAAGGCAGGGAGACCTGGACATGCAGATAACATGCCTGCAGTCCCCAAGGGAAGCAGGGCCCGGCTCTATCAGCAATATTTACCTTCAGAAAGGTGTGGAGGAAATGAATGAAGGCCCTGGATGTGTCTGAGCCCTCTGTGGCTCCTCCAGAAACGCTGGCAGCTCCCTGCTCCTGGCAGCCAGGGCTGCTGTGACAGGAACAGCTGTATTGGGGTGAGCTCACGTGCACTGCTGAGCCTACACCTGAAAGGGCTTTTCCCTCATGAGCATGGCACAGCTTTTCCCACCAGAACAGCCCCTGGAATGGCTGTTCTCCCATCTCCCTCCTCCTCTGCACGTGCTGCCTCTGCAGAGCCCCTGTGCCCCAGTCCCATCCCAGCCCGTGGATGTGGGGCAGCAGGCAGTGTCCTGTGCAAATCCCTGCTCAAACAAACCTCTCCTGGAGCATTGCTGGCTTTTGCATTTACCCTGCAAAGCAGATGTGGGTTACCCCCAGTATCCATTTCCACTTACAACCTTTATCCTTTTGGCACAGGAGCACAGGCTCCACGCAGCAGGACAGGAAGAAATAACAACAGGGGAATGATCAGTTTATCTATTGTTTTGTGAGATCAGGAGATATTGGAGGCTGTAAAGAGCAGCTGGTGTGGCTGGGAGCCACCTTGGAGGTACCTGAGCATCCCTCATCCCAAAACAATCCATCAATTGTGCCACTGAGCAGCCCGTGTGGAAGAAAGAGAGCACGGGGATTTCTGCAGAGCACACAGCCCTTTTTGTGTACCCTGGCAAACAGCCCAAAATATCAGTTCTCGGGATTTTCCCCCACCTCTGCCTCTGCATATTCTTTTCCCTGCCTTGGGTTACATTGGACCAGTTAATGGACTGCAATCCAGAGTGGGCTGGATTAGTCTACATGAAGCCCTTCCAAATATTAAACTTTATCCCTGCCAAAAATCCAATAAATCAATCAAACCATTCTCTCCAAAGCCTTTTATGTTTCTTTTTTTTGGGTAGACATGGCAGGCAAAAAAGACCCATCTTCCAAGGGTGCAGGCAGAATGCAGAATCCAGCCTAGAGCAACCCTCAGATGAGGAGCTGCCTTGCTGGGCTTCCCTCTCCAAGCTCCCAGTCCTTTCCCACCACCACCACCACCACCACCACCACCATGATTTCTGCACCTCCCACACAATTTCCCACTCCTCTGTTGTACATCTGTCAACAGAATTCCGATATTTCTTACGTGAAGCAAAGATCTGGTGCCCCTGCTCGCAGACACAAACCTCAAAATTGTGCCTTTGATTGTTCAAGAGGCCCCAGGTTTTCCAGTAAAGCTGATTTAAAGCTCCCAGCTGCAGCCCCTTGAGATGCCTGCCCTGGGCTGTGCCCCTGGTACATGGGCAGAGGGAAAGGAGGATGTAAAGAAGCAGTGCCAAGGATTTTCTCCCACTTTCACACACACTGGGATACTCAGAAGAGAAATCTTTGACTGTTCCTCAAATCTCTGCAGCAAACACACAATTCTCATACACTGTAAATCAGAATTCCCCTGGTTCTGAATGGGGCACTGCAGGAAGGGAGTTAAACCATGCACAGCAGAGCCTGAACACAGGCTGGGTGTGTGCCAGGGCAGCACCGGGGCTTTCCTTCACAGGAGACACTTGTGAAGGCATTTCCTCACAATCACTTGGGCATTTATCCTGCCTGGAGTCCCATCACATCACCTGGAATCACACCTTGATGGCCCAGCACAGTGCTTTGACTAAAATATTTATAAGATTGAAAGTGCTCCACAACTGTTTGCAAGTAAAGAAGCAAAATGCCATCGAGTAGGGAAAAAATGAGCCATTTACCAGCCTAAATCATACTCTGGGAATATGTTCTTGATTTACCAAGTTCTTATTTTTATTTTACACTGCTGTCTGCCTCCTAGCCCGTGCCAAAGCTCTCCTCACCTCCCTCTCCTGTTACACACAGGCCACTCTCTGCAAGGACCAGAGCTAAAATTCAAGAGGGGTTTAGCTTTGGAAGCAAATACATGTCACTATTTATTTTGGCACAGCACAAATGTGCAGCCTAAGAACAAGCCAGCCTAATTGCCAGTGGCCTCCTGCCTACGTGCAACCAGAAATCTCAGCTTCCCACCCAGCCAGGCCACAGGGACTTTCTGTAACCTCACCAAGATCTTCTTCTCCTGGGGTTTTGAGCTCTGGGTGAGCAGTGCAGAGCAGCATCACCCGATGCACTACACAGGGTGAGAGTTCAGTGTCTCATTTCTCTCCCTGTGACACTGACCCACCCCACACTGGACAGACCAGACTCAAAAAGGGGATTAGCTGAAATGATATCTGGTAAAGGCCTCAGTCACTCAGGAAAAGCTCATGAATCTCTCCAATTGTGTGGATGGAGCTTGTTGGGAGTGGAAGTAAGGGTTAACCCCACATGCTGAAGGAATTAGACAAATGGGGTTCACGTGGCAGAGCACCCAACCCATCTGCCATGTGGCATTAAAAGTGGGGCTTGAGCCATGGGAACCTTGTGCCGAGCAAATAAGCAGATAATCCCAGCCTGGAGGATTTTGTGGTGAAAACCCAAGGAGAACAGCAAATATGTCACCCAAACCACCACTGGCCACTCCATCTGCACCGAGGACAGGGAGGGGACATTGGTGCAGCATTTTTCAGGAAAGGAGAGCAGTATTTCCAAGTGGACCCTGCAGCTCTGAGCCAAAACTCTCCTTGGCCACTGGCTACCAGCCCTGAGTGCAGGAACAGCACTGAGGGGTGCAGGAATAGCCCAGGGGTCAGAGCCCAAGGTCAGAGACTGAGGGTCAGAGCCCAAGGGTCAGAGCCTGAGGTTAACAGCCCCAGGGTCACAGCCTGAGGGTCACAAACCCCAGGGTCACAGTCCCAGGGTCACAGCCCCAGGGTCACAAACCCCAGGGTCACAAATCCCAGGGTCACAGCCCCAGGGTCACAAACCCCAGGGTCACAAAACCCAGGGTCACAGCCCCAGGGTCACAAACCCCAGGGTCACAAAACCCAGGGT